TCCTTTCGGTTCCGAGTCCAAAGGAACTCGAATTACCCGATAACTTTTCAGATTCGATATAATTTTGAGGGACGCGGAGGGCACAAAGAGTCGAATGGAGGATCCATCCGAGGAATCTTTGCGAGTGTATTTACCGCAAACACGTATCTCGAATAGATAGTTGCCGTAGAGTTACGTGAGGCTTTTCCACGGAAAAGGAGGCCGAGGATGAACGAGCCGATGATGAATCGTATCCGAGGGCATTCACGCGATCGGCTGTGTCGCGCGGTTGTTTCCGTGACGATCACGGTTCGTCGAGCCCCAAAGAGCTCCGCCGGCCCTCTTTCCGCCCAAAATCGAATCTTACGAATTTTCAACACCACTTTCGTCGTCGTGGACCTTCTCTCGAAAACGCAATTTCGAGAAAACGCGTGACTTTACCGCGCTCCCATTCCAGGCGAATTTTTCGAAATTGCACCTTTGTGCCGTCTAATTCATCCGATTTGTTCGAGCTCTTTGTGCGAGGTTTCTCTCTAGGATCGGTCCACTCTGAAATTGGTCAGTATCGGTCACTTAAGGAAAAAGCAAGCTTTTCGAACAAGTAATTTTAATTTTTCAATCCTCCCCATCTTCGTTTCGCTGCGATTTAAATATTTACCTTACGTTATTCTTAAAAATCTGTTATTGTATATCACAGGCGCAAGACGATACGAATCGTTCAATATCGATCGATAGAATCGAAAAAATAATATATTTAACTCGCTTTATTTCGGCAAGAATCTTCGAGCAAGCAGCAGAGAATGGAAAACGGCGGAGGAAACAGCGGTAAATTTCTCCGCGAAATTGAAGTACGGGACGACTTAAAGTTCATCCAGATAAGGATGCCGTGGAAGGTGAAGTATAACTATAGGTTGGTGCAAAGATTGCTGGGAAACGAGACGAGTCTGGAGCGGTAGCGCGGAATAAGCTAAACGCGTCCCGTGCAGAATGAAAGGGACGTAGGAATGCGAGGGTGACCGGATGGAGCCGGTGTCCGTGTGTGTTTCAGACTCCATTACTCGAATTGGAGTGGGAATAGCGCCTGGTCCCTGCACACGTCCCCCATATTTCGGACAAACGTTCGCGCCCATCGGCTAGTGTCTTCCTCCTCGCCAATAAGAATATAGCTGGTCGTCCTATTTTCCACCGTGTCTTCCCTTATACTTTAACCCCCTCCCCCTTTGCTATTTTCGGTATTCCACACGGTCTTCCTGCAAACTATCTCCCCTCCTATCTTCCGACCAGATCTCACATTTCTCTACCTTCCTCTCTATTATCCTCTCTCTTCTTCTTCTTCTTCTTCTTTCTCTTCTTCCTTTTTTTTTCACCCTCTATTATTTCGTTTCGTGGACGACGTTTAATGGTCGAAGCTCCCTCAGTCATCGGGGGTAGTAAGTAGATTTGGGAATCTCGAAATTAATTTAAAAGTTGGTGCACACCGGTATGTATGCTTGGATACAAACGTGAAATGAGAGAAGCAGCGGTGGAAAAATGGACGTGGGCACCGAGGGTTCGTTACTTTCGCCCATTGACCACGCTTCCCTCAATTTTATCCCTGCCCTCGAATTTCCGTTCCAAACTTCCTTCTTACGGAGAATTTCGAAGACATTCCTATACCTCCGTCTAATCTTTTCCAATCTTCTTCGTGAACATACATTTACAACGTGAACATACGCGTCGAACGTCTTTTTCTCGTTTCTTTTAAAAATATGTTTGAGGCGTGTGTGTAAATTTTTTTACACGCACAAGCAGATGCGATACAATCATTCCCTATAAGAAAGCTACTTGTATACTTGATTATCCTATCAAACTGATCATTTTTCACATATATTATACTCACGTCCTTCTTAAAACTATTATCCGTAATAAAAATTTATATTACTAGATTATTACTCCAGAGAGATTATTTTCTTTCGATATCGCACAGATATATCTAAAAATTAACGAGATCTCCATCAACGTCGAAAGTCTGGCAAAACCTGGTTACTCCCTCTTCTTTCTATCGTTCTTCCCTCCTCCAAATTAAATTCCAATCGATCAACGATTGACATTAAAACCAATTTCCACTCTTTCGGAAGGCGAGAGACTCGCGTTAAAGGGGTTTCGATGTCGAAGCTTGCGAAACAACTCGGCCCCGAGAGCTGACGTTAAAATCAATTAATAGACAGACCGTTTTCATTATGATTTCATTGGGCTGGGATAGGATATCGACCTTATCGTGGATCCATCTCCCCGCTTGCGTTTCCCTCCCCATCTCTTGCTTCCGGGATATTGGAGACATGGAGCGCAAATGAAACGACCCTCCGAAACCGCCCTAAGAAATGTATACACACGAATTCATGCATTCGTGTGTATACGCGGCGTTGCTCTAGTTCCAATTTCTGGCTTCGCTCGAATTTAAAGAGACGTTCGTATCTGGGGATGGAATAAGTAGGGGGGAAAAGGTTTGATACGGTCCTTTACAGTCGGTGTGTATACATACGTTTTTTTAAATTTTTAGTATACCGTTGGAGAACTCGATTCGCGTAATCAATGCAAATGAAATTAGAATTGAAATTGTCGTTATTACGTATCGATATTTCTGGCGAGAAAATTTTTCCTCCCGTTCGCTTTTTCTCTTCGCAAAGTGAGAAGAAATATAATAAAAATGGCGAAAATATAGATAGAGAAATATTTAAAATTACGCCAATTCAGAAAAGCTTATAACGAATTTCCTGTGGTGTCCAAATATATCGACGAATGGTATTAACGCGGCAAAATGTATATGCGAAATGATGGGTGGATAAGAAAAAGTGTGATGGAAATTGAAATTGAATTCGTTATGCAGCGATGCTCGATTATTCAAACGTTAGAATTGATTTCACGTTTCCTGCATTATGCAGGTACTCGAGTGCACGCGAGCATATTGCGGTGGTTTGGCATAAGCGGGGCGCAGGTTCGTCTGTAAAAACCGAAAAGTAATTTCGCGTTGAACGAGGCGGAGGGAGGTTTTATGCTGGAAGGATTGCCATTTTCGCGGTCGAATTTAATTTCACGTTGGCCACATCAACGGGAACAACAATATACGAGAACAAGCAATACGAGGATTTACATTACCCTCGTGATTAATTATTATCGAAATAGAGGGAAACATCGAGCATTATCGTAAAACGAAATTAGCCCCGTCCACGTTGATTTGTGTCACGCTGCGATCATCTCTCGATTAAACGTTACAATATCGCGAGAATACTGTTCGTGCAATGCGAGAAATTTCCGTCGTTCGAACTGCATCACGTTCCAAGATCGCCTTTTAGATCAGCAACGTGAAAGTTATAAAGTTGGACTGCATCGACTATGACTCTCGTTATTCATCAATATTAATATATTTCTCATTTTTGCAAATTGACCATATCTATAATATAATAAATATACAATATTCTCTAGATAAAGGATACTCTAGAACGAATTAATTTATTTTAAAATCTTCTTCGTAATTTAATTAAAATATTATTTCCTTGCACGTGTAACAAAATCTTTTATTTATTTCGCGACACGCCCATCTAAATCACTCTATATAAAAAAGTTGTGCAAAAGTCTCAAGGGTATACACATCGTTATCTCGTCAGTCGATCCTGTTCCCAAGGAAGCGTGTAACAGCTGGAGCGAATTGAGAGTTCGATAGGCTCGAGGATGTTATCGCTTTAAGAAAAAGAGACAGACGAGGTTTCTTCTTCGATCGTCGTCGAGCCGGAGGATTCATTGGAATTAAGGATGGTGAATGGAAGAATCGTGGAACTGTAAAGATTCAATCCTGAAATACTTTCGCGAATAGTTATAACATCGATCGATCGAATCTTAATAAGACCGATTCCGCTCGTTTCGATCGAGAAAATATCGAAATATTTCAATGAGAGGGAATGAAACGTGTGTAAAACAATAAAATGAATGATATCGCGTCTGATTCGATACTTTTGCGTTACTTTATCGATCGATCGAAATAACACCGATTCTACTCGTTTCGATCGAGGAAATATCGAAATATTTCAATGAGAGGAGATGGAACGCGTGTAAAATAAATAAAACGAATGATACCGCGTTTGATTCGATATTTTTGCGAATTATAATTATAAGCTGGTGTGTAACATCGATCGATCGAGGAAATATCGAAACGTTTCAATGAGAGGAGATGAAAGGCGCGTAAAATAAATAAAGCGAATGATATCGCCGTCTGATTCGATACTTTTGCGAATTGTGACATCGATCGATCGAGGAAATATCGAAATATTTCAATGGAAGGGGATGGAACACGTAAAATAAATAAAGCGAATGATCTAGTTCGATCGATCGAATCTTAATAATTCCGCTGGTTTCGATCGAGGAAATATCGAAATATTTCAATGGGAGGGGATGGAACGCGTATAACCGCGTGTAAAATAAATAAAGCGGATGATATCGCGGCTCGCTTCTTAAAGAGCTTTTCAACCGAGATTGGAATCCCCGTGCAAACACGAGGTTCCTTCTGTTTGCCGAGACCCGTGCGACGTCACCTCGTGTCCATTTCGCAACCCATCCTCCCTCCTCTCTTGCGGGGAATTCGGTTAATTTGGTGGCAGCGAGGATTGTTTCGCCGAGGAAAGAAAAATAGAAGCGTTTTCGCGTTCGAACGAAAGTTGTTTCTCGAAGAAGATCCGGCGTGAGAACGATTTTATATTTTTTCAACGGGTCGATTCGAATCTCGCTCTTTGACTATTAAATCAGTCTGGAAATAATGATTTAAAAGAAACGGGTGAAAATCGATAACTCTGTAACGTAGCTCTATGAATTATTGAAACTATATAATTCACTGATACTTTCACACTCGCAATAGTAGGAATACTCGTAAAGAGACCAATATAGTAAAAAAAAATCTTATTGTCGACGAAACTTTACTTGCCTACTATTATGCTAGAAACTTGTTCGTTATTGAACACATGGAAAATACAATCCGATTCTTTCTGTCTTGTCTGATAGTATACACTTTTATTACATCGAACTTATATACTGCCATTTCAAAACTTTAAAGCGAGGGGTTTATCTTAAGAGAACGACAATGGTTTCAAAATAATTTCACTGCTTGGAAAATAGACAACAGATAGAATATATAACTCGTATACGGTAGATGCATTCATCGAAAATTCGGTGGCGAGAAGGAAGGAAGAAAAAAATAAAAATTCGATATCTCTCAACTTACTTAATACCTCCACAATCTCCCACAGAGATCCACAAGTCTGCAGAGCCATCTCGCACAAATGCAAGCGATTACGCGGTAGTTCGAGATGAATACACGTAATAATCCAGGTATATATATGGCCGTTTCGGCTATGGACCATCGATCGACAGTTTCCATTTTTGTCCAGGATTATCGAAGGCTGGTTTACCGGATCCTAATTCGTATCCCAAGTCGGGCACAATGCCCGAAGATACGTTCTGGACTGTGCAATGGAAATAAGAAAAGGATCCTCCGTAGACGGGACGAGGATTCCACGAGATCGACTAATACGCAATCGTCTCAAAGATTCGGATATCGAGAGAACGGCATATTGGTCGATAATCCAGAATCGCTTGACTCGATCTCGCCGTCTAACGTTTATTATACTTCATATTTTCCAATTCATTCCATCAATGGATTATAGATTTTTATTAAAAAATTACCAAGAATTTACGGTAGTTTTTAAATTAATCGAAACTTCGAAATATATATTATTATATTATTAATAGTGAGCAATATTTTAAATCATCACTTTGATGCTCCATGTACAATCCATTTAACCCTCGAACCGGTGCAAATATTCGATATCGTGATATTACATCATCCACGATGCACGTCCAAATAGAGAAAATTCCTGTTCAAATTTAGCGTGAAAACTGGTGTATCGTGTAAGGAATATTTTGAAAGAGGATGGGGACGGGGTCGGAGAGGGTGAATTGATCGAAGATTGCGAAGAAAGGATGGCACAGGTCCACGATCGGCTCATGAAATTCCATGAAATTGCATATTCCTTTCCGACGAGGACAGCGCCGCCGATGATTTGAATATCAAAGATCGCCTGCTCTTTTTCACCCACGTTGATTCCTCGACCGGAATTTCGACGAGATCGGGGAGGCCAAGGGTGAAACAAAGCTATCGTTGATTTTTAGATAGCGGCTCCCCATTTCCCTCCCTTCTCCCTCCCTCGAAAAACGGTCGCAATGAATCCGACACGGGCGGGCAGAGATCAAAGAGGTCGCCAAGTTTCGGTCCGACTATTTTCCAGTTTTCAAAAAGCAACTACTTAAACGATCCGACACAGTGGCGGAGTCCCCCGGCGGGCCAGCGAGGATATTTCATTAAAACTTGAAATCCGATTCAAAAACGGAGACGAAGGTAATTCGCGTTAAAACTCGCCGCTCCACGGTCAAACGTCATTCAACTTTTTTTCGAGGGAACAACAACCGAGCGCGAAAAATAATTGTGTTAAATAGGAGGGGAGAACTGACAATCCTTTTATACGAGAAGGAAAAATGCTTATATGTTAATGAACGTATAATTTCAGTTGTATTTTTAGACGTTGCGCCACTTTTTTTTTTTTTAGACATTTTCACAAAGAGGAGGAGAGTAAGTATACTTTCATAACTGGTGGAATAACGAAAGATAAATTAATGAAATTTTGAAATCGGAGAATTATAATTTTTCATCTCATTTCCTTCTTATTGTCCTTCTCATTTTCACGTTATACGCGTGGTAAATTGGTAGATGAAACGAGAGATGAGCCTGGTATTTAGTATCGCTTTGTTTAAATCCGCGTCTTAAACAGGAAACAAGATTTTACGGTATTTACAAGGCGGACTGTTTTATTCAAATCCGTACCTCAAGTAGGAAAGATTTTCTGCAAACTTGTTGTTACTGACCTATCAAACCTACTTTATCCCGACACAAGATATAAAATAAACGAACGATTAAACGATGGATGACGTTTGAAACGTTATTACACATCTATATTATTATTTGTTGATATCATTCTTTCCAACCGAGATGAATTTTTTTCACCAACGATTGTAGCTTAAATATATCCTTCGATTCCTTTATTACTTCGAGCGGAAAGGAATTTAACTAGGATCGTATCTACCAACTACCGCGAATCGACTCGTTCCCCTTCTAATCAATAGCCGCAGCAATTGTGTGCCGGTAATTTAAGAAATCGGCAGCCAACGTATTCCCGCGGAACTTTCTCTTGAAATAACTATTACCTCCACCCCCTCCCCTCCTGTACAATTGGACATCGCGGGGATCGATTCGGAGCGGAGAAATCGAGTTAGCATTGGAGGTGAACGAGGAGTAAAAGGTTGGAGGAAAGTAGCGGAGTGATTCGCTAACCACGGGAGAAGAATCTTCGATTTCTCGACGAATACGACAAGCCACCTCTGGAATCGTTTAGTCAAATACGGTTTGTACACCTCGCTATCTATCCTCCTCCTCCTCCGTTCGACTTTTCATCTCTCTTTTGCCAAATTGCTTTTCGACGATGGTCGCCTTTTTTTAAAATTTCCAATTCTCTCGAGAGGAGGAGGAGGAGAATCGGCGATTAAGAACACGCACACGCACGCGCGCAAAGCGGTCGCGAAATCTTTGGACCACCACGCTTTCGACACTTTTATTCGGGCGGCATTAAAATCTCGTGGAACTCCAACTCGCGATCACCTGCCCCACATTTATTACGGGGACGTGGCGGAGATTCTCGAAGAATATGGAGATGTTCCGGCGGGGAGCATTTCCATTTTAATGCCGTTCCGAATGTATTCTCGTGCGACGAGAATTCTAAAAAATGCAACTACCGCGTCGCTCCTCTCATAAATTCTTCCACGGACGGTGAAACGACGTTTGTCCCCGGAAAGGATTCGAACTACTTGAGAGAGACAAAAAGAGAGAGAGAGAGGAAGGAAAAAGAAGAAGAAGAAGAAGAAGAAGGGAAAAAACTTCGTTTCGAAAAAATCATTTGAAACACGAAACAAATAGTATCCACGCTCTCCGTCGTGCGGAGAGAGAGAGAGAGAGAGAGAGAGAGAGAGAGAGAGAGAGAGAGAGAGAGAGAGAGAGAGAGAGAGAGAGAGAGAGAGAGAGAGAGAGAGAGAGAGAGAGAGAGAGAGAG